GGGGAGGAAAAAAAAAAAAAAAAAACATGCCTCTCCAACTGCCCCTCACTCTCTCTCGCTTTCCTATTTTAGAGATCATTCATATTTTTATATAAAAACTTTGGTATCATTAACAAAAAATAAAAGGTTACTCTTAAAGCTTCCCAAGAAAGCTGACGCTTTTCTCAAGAAAAGGTCACAACTAATAAAAAAGAAACAACCCTCTTTTCCAACAGTAGTATTTTTGTATTTCTCTTGACAAATGTTTGGAGAGTACGTTTTTAATTTTTTCTTGCTCACACCAACAGAACTCCTTTGGAAAGACTATGAAAGACTAAGTCACTAGGGCATTACAAAAATATAAATGGCAATGCCAAAAATGGTAGAGGAATTAAATTCTTCAGTCGTGTGTCAAAAATTCATAGCCCAGGTCATACTCCAGTATAAAAATCCTGCCATTTTTACAGTACTTTACATTAAAGGAGGAAAAACAGTTCGTGTAAACACTCCGCCTGTCACTGACAGCAACTGAAGATTTGCTAAAAGGCTCTTTATTTGTTTTTAGTTAGAAGTAGTTTACATTACCACAAAATACTGTACAACCTTCTCTCTTAATACAATAAAATCATTTTCAGAGGTAAATGAACAGGTAGTCTTAAATATTCACCATTATCTTTTGCTGAAGAACCAATAAAAAATGCCCACTAAGGATAAGTGGCATTCTCATTTTTTACTGAAAGTGACTGCTATTATGTAGCTTGATCTAATAGACAAACCTGACAAGAAAGAACAGTCAAGATGCATGTAACAGAGAGAGAAAAAAGGGGGGTTGTTCAGAAGGATTATCTGAATCCCCAATATCTTATCAAAAAAAATAAATGTTTAAAATGCAGAGAAAAAAAAAGAAGTTCTTAGAATAGAAATATCATATGACAAGTCAATTCTAAGTATTAAATCCCAAAGTTAAAAAGAATAGTGACAATTAAGTGTTACTAAACAGAAGCTTTCAATTTGGACTCTAAAGCTGCTGTAAAAGAAAACTGAAGATACATTAAATTTCCTTCCTATGTTCATCTATGAAACAGACAATATTTCACACAGCCCACACCACAGATAAGAAAATACTCTTTGAAAATATGGTGTAATAAATATCAGAAATTATCAGAATACTTAAGGGACAGTAGAGGTATTTCAACTTAAAAATAAAAAACATCTCTTTGAATAGTGCTTAGATGGAATAATGACAGAAAGCTAAGCTATTTTCTACAATTACTGAGATATGTGAGTAAATATTATCCACACAAGCATCACAACTTGCATCACTTAATAAACAAAGCACATACCACTCTGGCTGCTCTTTCCTGAGATTCACACTTCCTGCAAAACCAAGGTCCAGTGGGTACTTGAACAATTCCATAGCAAGCTGTTTTGAACAAGATAAAATATTTCAGCAAATGTAAGCAACACTACAGGATAACTAATACTAAGCTCTTTTATAACATTCATATTGTAGATCTCAAACCATTTTATCAAGTTAAGCTGACATCTATACATTGTAAATGAAATTCTATCAAAATGCCACCAGAAATAAAGTAGAATACACTTCCATTTAAAAACATTTTTTTCCATTATGATTAAATTAAAAAAATACTGATTACCTTGAAAAGCAGCAGATGTTTTATATACTGCTTTGCTATTTATTTACTGCAAAATGGGTAAAACAGCTTTACAATAACAAACAGCTGTCATTTTGCTTAAAAGCACTTTACAACAAAACTAGGAAGAACTAACAAATCTCAGCTTGTCGTAAAACATTCATAAACTTAGTTTCAATCAAGTTTTCTTACTCTTTTTGAGTAAGATCACTGATCCTAAATAGGGAATAATAAACAGAACAAAGTTTAGTGTTTTTTCTCCTGAAAGTTCACATGGCACTACAAATGCAACCTAAACTGAGCACCACTGCTTGGGCCATGTGTAACTATATTGAGCCTGGAAAACACATCCTTACAAAACAGATTTTGAGATATGCAAATTTCTCTTGCAAGACTGTCATTTATGTTTCTATGGAATATAACAACTCAGAACTTTGAAAGGAAATTCCACTCAAAAAAAAATATAGTTCATGTTGAAATGCACAGCTCAGAAAACTAAGAACTGTTGATGTAATGAAGCTTTAAGAACACAAGTACTATGAGTATATTAAAATATCTGTATAGCTTCATGATTAATACCTACAATGAAGATGAAAAAATCCCTCAAAAATATACCTGACATTGTATTTTTAAACTTAATTACCAATTACTACCTTTTTTTAAATAGAACGTATGGTTTAACTGTGTGATTAACTTAAAAACAGGTAAGAGATCCGATAAATTAACAGATAAGAGGAAAAGCAAAGTTAGAATCAATATCCACTAGTACCTGGTTTATGTTAGCCTGAAGGTGGGAAGGGGAGGGCGGAGATGGTAAAGGGAAGAACACTGCAGGAATAGAACTGTAGCTTCTAGAACATCTCACTAATACACCTTTCCTTCTACAAAGGAAACTCAACTAAATTTTTTTCTCTTATAGGCATACATATAGTCATTCTAAGATCAGTTGTCAGACTTCAAATATACTACCCAAGTTCTGACGGACCAAACTTTCTTGATAACTCTTTTTTACTGTAAAGTTCTTTTAGTATTACAAAAAACATCTTGTTTTAGTTGCATTTATATTAAGCACAGATGGGGGGGTGTCTTTGAATTCCTTTTTAGAGATTAAATGGGGACTCTGAATATACAATTGCACTTTTAAATTAGCAAGAGACAGTGTAGAGTAAGAAACTAATTATAGAATGCAACTCAAGAGACAGAGCTTGCAATTAGATTCAAAAGCAACAGAAGTTGGGCAAAAACCAAAGCTGAAGGGAAGCTTTTATATCTGCAAACCTAACAGAGTACATCTGCAGGGAAGAAAAAAAAAAAAAAAAAAGCCACCACTACAGGTTTGCACTCTGCTGTGCTGCAATATTCTCTACAGAGTTCCATGACTTTCTTAGGCTTACACTTTCACTGTTATTTGAAGCTTCTCTAAACACATTAGAAGATTTTGTCCCATGCAACTTGCCAATGACTCAATGCTGGAAGAGAAGATTCTTTTGAACCAATTAAAACTATAATGCTGTTGAGAAAGTCTTGTGGGCTGCACTCATGTCCGGATTTCAAATGAAAACTAACAGTTTTGATCATGAGGAATATCCACTTTCATCAGACTATGGAAAGAAAATTTAAAATGGGCATGTTTCCTCTACCACATCCATGGGACATATCAGATTCAACGTGCAGATCATTAATGATGCAGTAAATCAGGACACACTTCTTCCTTTCTCAAGTCCTCTACCATAGCACCTGGTTTCAAAAAAAAAAAAAATGCAGCATTTTGCACATTTACTTCCAGACTCAAATACAGATTTGAATCTGCACTTAAAAAGAGAAATGCAATATGCTAGTACCCAATTTACCAAAGTTTCTCCCTACAGTAGAAGCACTTCCTAAAACAGAGTTCTGCTTTTACCACTGTTTCTGCTCCATAGATACTGAGGTGTCAGAACACTGAATTCTCTCACAGATACTATCAATGAGGTTCCAGACACAAACAAAGATGCCCAAGATAATACTAGAATAATACTAGTTTAGGCATGACTTCTGAAAGTAGTCATGGGGGGTGGAGAGAGCAATATTCCAAGATTCCACAAAAGCAAAGAATTAGCTTAGTGGTTATCATTGCTTGGCTCTTAAGAAAACAGAATACTGGACAGATCCTGTTCAACTCCTATCTGCCTTGAATCTGACATTAATAGGAATATTTGATTTTTTTTTGCAATCTCCTTAAATTGTGACTAACTCTTCATTATATACCTCCTATAATGACTGTTACACTGTGTTATCCACAACACCATCCATATATTATAAAACTGAGCATGAGAGATGTCAGCAGTATTTTCACATGTGCTAGCTATTCAGGCAAACTAACTGGATTTTATATTTGTCTCTCCTCCAATTTGTTCACTGAATTCTTCCAATTGTTTGGGAGTTGATACAGAAAAACTACCACATTATTACTTATTTCTGCTCCCCATTTAAAGCAAAAGCCATGATAACTTCCCTTCTTACAATGTAAACAGCAGAATCCTCCCTCTCTCTCTGCTCTCAAGAGAAGGGTCAACCCACTGACAGAAACAAAACAATCACACACACACAGAACATGCCAGCTCCTGAGCCGAGCTGGAAACCAACCAACCAACCTCCACTAATCCAAACAAATCCAGCATCAGCCATTAGGGCGAGCACCCTCCCCCTGCAGAACCACAACAGGAAGTCTCTTCATCTAACAGGCAACAGCAGCCAAATGACATGCAAGGGAAGGCAGGCAGGGGAAGAAATCACATGACAGCTAAGTCTTTCTTACATGCTGCTGTTCCCCACTCCAAAGTTCTGCCTGCCCCTCAAATAGTTGTTTTGAATTTGGGGAAAATAATAATAATAAAAAAAAAGTGTTGGGAAAAAGCGGGGATAAAAGGTACTGAGCATAGGAGGAAGAACTGAAGCAACAATTGCCAGAATAGTAATTAGTAAGAAGTTACAGAAAGAAGGAACAGAGTTTCACGTTGGCTCTGGAGTCATACAGCTAAGCTTGCAAGCAGGATGCAAAGAAGGATCAGGAAGCACAAACATACAAAAGGAGAAAAGGAGGAAGGGAAAAAAAAAGCCAAAAGAGCAGGGCGGGGGGGTCCCCGTGTAATAGATGTGAAACGGGGAGTCTCACGCGGGGGACGTGAGCCCCGGCGGGAAGGCTGCGGGTGACAGGCCGGGCCGGGCCAGCGAGCGCGTGGCGGGCGGCAGGAAGGCAGCGGGCAGGCGGGGGGCCCGCCGGCGGCGCCGGCGGGCGAAGGGACG